CAAATCTCATATACTAAAAATCAAAATTCGAATGCCTAATCGAGGGAATTCGGACTTCACAATGCCACGAACCACAGCTTCTCCTAACTAGCAAACCTAAATGTCGAAGCACAGACCAAGATATTCCTCGTCTCCTAGTTAATAAAAACCGGTAATGACGGAAAATTTTCCCCGAGACGAGATAATCTCAGGGAGAAGAATAAGAGTTCTAGAAGCCAGTGATCAGCTTCTTCAAAGCAAACCCATTATTCGTTGTCAATAAAAGTTGCAAGCTTGAGAAAATTCAAATGCGGAGTTGAAAGTAGCTGAGTTCAATCGCCGTCGTCTCCGCCATTGTCGGAGGCTTTTGATGGCCATTCACAACAAGAGGAGAGAGAGGGGAAGGAAGTAAATTATTTTTTAAATTAAAGTTTTTTTAATTTTTGGTCGAATGATGGGATCTAACGTGCGCTGGAAAACCACGCAAGCTGAATCTTTCGTTGCAATTTCGTTTGGGTTTTTCCCTCCATTTATTATTGTCTCGTGTCACATGGCCATTTGAATTTTGAATCTAAATCTATTATACATTTTTGCAGCAGTTTTTGGGGTACCCAAATCGGGTCAAATTTATTTAATTTTGACCCGGAAATCTTCAATCGAATCTTTCCTTAAATTTTGGCAAAATTAAAAAACGAAAATAATTAATAAAATCTAAAATATATATACTTTCTCAACTAATTACTATATTTAAACGCTTTATTTATGGTATATTCTCCACGATTTTTATAGATAAAGAAATCAAATATGATGATTTAATGCTAATATAACAAATTTGCACTAATTTCCTAAAACCTCTCTACCTAATTTAAACATAAATATATGATTCTTATTTCACTTTTATTTGATCTTATATTTATATTATTTTAAATTATTATAAAATATATAAATAGTTAGTAAATTTTAGTTTTTTTTTTCTGCATATGTTACAATTCAAATTTTTTAAAACGGACATATATTACTCAATCGATGAATAAAAATATGTGTGTAATCTATATTAACATTTTTAAGAACAAATTGAGCATTTAATCATGTCGTTATTTTATTCAGACCCGAAATTGAGTCATTCAGATCTTTCTTTAATTTTTACAATTATCTAAAATGGGACAGTATATCACGGGTGAAATCCTAATTAGTATTTTAAGATACAATTATAAATTGTTTTTACGGGTTGGTCCAAAAACATACACTAATTTAAAAATATACATGGAAACTATTTGAAAGCAACTTTCAAATTAACTCGAATTATATGACATTTAAATAAAAATGTTATTAAAAAAATAACAAAATGATGTTTAATTTCATTTTAGATTATATGGATGGACGGGTTTGGGTCAATATTAATACGAGACAATATACCACAGGTGAAATCCTATAAATAACAAATCAAAATGCAATTATACAATCTTAAACACTAAACAAAACAAATACAACTTAAAATTTTTTATTTTAGATACAACGCATGTTACCCGCGGTATACAACAAAAAATATTATATACAATAAATTTATCAATTTATAAAAATAAAAAATTCAAATAATTAACCTGCGGTGTACCGCGGGTCATATCCTAGTACCACAACAAAATCGTCCCAAATATACCTGAAAAACTTTATAAACAAAAACTTGACCACCCAAACGTAAATAATAATTTTAACATATTGAACAACTAAACTTTTCTTGATTCTAAAGAATTTATTGGACAACAATTGATTCATATGGCAGAAAAATGGGATCATAAACACTAACAAGAAGGAAGATCAGGAGGAGGCTTGACAATTCGGGATGATTTAGTCGATCCATCTTTCACTATGAAGACTGTGTTCATTCCCCATGTGGCATGTCTCTCTATATGGCAATGCAACAACCACACCCCTTCATAAACAAATCAAACCAAGATCGTCAAAATCTCAAATCAGGTATGACATAATTGTATTTTATTCTCACTTGTCTGGTAATTTCAATTTTCCAACCGACCATTTAATTATTTTTTTATTCCATAAATCATATAAAATCTTTTGTATATCTTTTTTAAATATATACAAAGTATTCTATATATGATTTTATATAAAATCATATAAAATCTTTTGTATATCTTTTGTATATCTTTTGTATATCGTCAGATTTTTTAAATATCTTTTGTATAACTAATGAAAATTATTATCATTTTTGCATGAAACGTTTGAGAAACGTAACAAAGTGTAGAGTACTGTGAACTGACCTGGATTATTAGCTACGAATCTGACGGCGGTCCAGCCGTTACGGGGAACACCAACAGTGGTCTCCTCCGGTGGATCAACTAGGTTATACTTCAACGGATCTTTCCGACGATCGAAATTCCCAAAACCGGAACCCACGACGTAGAAGCTATACCCATGGAGATGAATCGGGTGATTATCTGAAGCCAACACGTTCGTCCCCTGTAAAATCAGCTCGACGCTAGAATTATAATCGAGAACCACCACTTTCGTCCCGAACCTCGTCGGAAACGGAAGATTCTCAAAATTGTAGTTAAATTTCGCCGGCGGATTTCTAGGGAAATCTTCCTGGAAAACGCCTCCGATGTGGCGATAATAAGCTCGGAGAATGTCGACTGATGGGTTCACGAAGCTTATGTTGTTAATGCTCGACGAGAATCTCTTCCCGAACGGACCGGTACAAGGTTTATCGTCGGAGCAATTCATCAAGTTCACGGAGATCGCGTAGAGAAGACGGGTGTCGATTTTAACCGGGACGTTAACCGGACGGTGATCAGATCGAAGACTTCTGAATTGGTTAGTGAACCGGGTAGATGCCTCGGTACGATTGTAAGGAGGCAGATAGGGTAGAATCGGTTTACCCCGGTTTAAAGAAACACCTTTGTATTTTAAGATGGCTGTGGTGGTGGTTTTGTCAAAACCGGCACCAACTGCAGAGGAGTAAGCTCTAGCCGCCACAAAGTAATGGTTGGACCGTTGGTTCGCATGGAGGAGGACGTCCATGGATTGTCCCGGAGTGATCATTAGGTAATTGGTTTTGAAATGTTTTAAGTAGAGACCGTCTTTGGCTACAACGGTTAAGGTGTGGTTTGCGATTGCAAAGAAGAGTTCTTCGTCCATCACGGCGTTGATAATCCGAAGAAGGTATCGACGGCCACGCACCACCGTTATTTTGAATGTTTCTGTTGCGGAATTATAAAGAAAAATATGAATTTTTGATTATAATTAAGATATTAAGATTTGAGCTTGTGTTAAACTTGGAAGAGACTTACCTGGTTTAGAGCAGGGGTATAGATAACCGGGTTGTCCGTTTATGGTATATGCGTCAGAGATGGCTGGTTCACCTCCGGTTTTATTAGCTTTTCCTGGTATATGCATTATGTTTTCCTTCTCCCACCATTCACCTGTCAATTGTCACGTAATGTTACACCATAACAATTTTAATCCAATCCGAGTTCAGTTTTTTTCGTATCCAAAAATGATAAAATGATATAAATGTGCTAATCTCATCAACCAAGTAGTGTCAGTACTGTACCTAAAATGAGAGGGATTTCACGGTGAGGCTTAGGAAAAGGATAAGATGAGCCAAGTTTGGGGTAGACAATAAAAGCTCCATGGACGGTGGCACGTGCCCATTGGCTATGCGCATGCCACCAAATCGTTCCTTCTTCGACCGTAAGATCGATTTTATATACATAGCTCTCTCCTGGTCGGACCGGACATTGAGTCACATATTCGGGTCCGTCCGACCATGGATTCCTGATTTGTCTTGCTCCGTGCCTAAAATGTTAAACACTTAAAACATGTTTCTTTACATCTTATAAACATTAGTCAATATGAAATCAACTACTTACCAATGGAGGGTAATGTTGTAAGTTGCGTTGTTGATGACATTGACGACGAGCTTATCTCCACGGTAGGCTTTTAACGTTGGTCCGGGAAATTCTCCATTCACCGTCAATATCTTTTTGGTATTACAAAGTCGTGTGTAAGCTTTCGACTTTATCTGTATAAGATAAAATCGATGGCATAATCAGATTTTTTATCCATTTCTCTCTCTCTTAATATCGTCAAAATAAAACTTTGTACAATCAATACCTTGAAAGTGTGGTGGTGAATCTTGGCTTCCGCGATTTGGAATGTAAGAAGAACAAAGAGAAAGAAGACTATAGTCTGTAGTGTTTTAACGATTGTATTTGGAACGTTGAGCTTGAACTCCATGATTGTTCTTCTCACCATAAAATCTCAGACAGAGGATGTAATAAATTTTAGTTTTTTATATGTTGGCAGTCATTTTCAGATGTTTTTTTTATGGTCAACCATTTATTACATATATTCTTATAAATTAACGTTTCAAATCATTATATTCTTAAAAATAAAGCCATATTAAGGAAGGAAATTTGTAAGGTTTTACATATTGAGTAAGAAATCTTATACCGTAACAGGCCACAGTAGGCATTAAAAATATCGAATATATTATAGGAAACACATAAATGGAATAATTTCTTGAAATTTAACCGAATGGAACCCAACCATTTTTAGATGACTCGCTACTAGATTTGAACTACAAATTTTCAATGTATGGCCGGTTTAGAATCTAAACCAGATTATATGAATTTATGTTCGAGATTCAATGATTTTGATCTTTAAGAATTATATGCAAATCTTGGATATTTTGCCTAATTCTCAGCATGGAACGAACGATTTCACAGTTTGTGAGGCTTATGAAAATTGGATATCTATATATCCAGTGTGATTAGCCACGTTTTGACATTTTCTTTTAACCAAACCCAATGGCCATACTCCTTAACATGCATGGAGAATTTGTCGCAAATAATTTTTTATTTTATTTTATTCATATAATTCGATTTAGAGCTTTGTTTTAGATGGTTTAATGGCTCATTATGATTCAATAAAACAAAATCTAGAAATAGCCACCAGTCAACTCAAATAATAAAAGTTAAACAATGTGTGTGACAAAACAGAAATTAAAAAAAAAACAATTCTTAATGGAAAGATGATACGTCTTAATGGAATTATTGAAACATCATAACTAATGATAAGCTACGGTCTAACTCTCGACTAGAAGGTTAGGGCTGTCGGGTTTTAGATACGGGGGAACAACATGGCCAATGCGGTACTGATTACAAAGGAAAAGCCAGAGATTGGGATCAATGAATTTCCTTTAGAAGGGCTTGGAGCTGGAGCAGAGGATGGTCCCCATCCTGATCCCCATCCAGCAGAAGTAACTGGAGCTGTCACACAAACATAACAAGACAAGAGTCAAAAACACAAAACCAAGTCTGACACACCTTAAAAGCTTTTGAGAGGGAGAAGAAGGAGATAAATCACACAACTATATATCAAACTTAACAAAATGGAGATTTTGACAAAAGCTCTTCTCATATTACATGATCATGGCACATTACATAGAGATCACATCCACACAAGCTTTAATATTTTATTTTGTCTTGATGGTCACATGATACACATGAAATTGAAATTATCTTAAGACGAAAAAAGACTAAATTTTTATTATGAAGACAATTGACTTTTACAATTCCCCTGCTTTGTTATAACGCCAACCAAAACTTGATTCAAGCAAGAAGTCCAAAAAAATTCCATTTCCCTTAACAAAAAAGATATTTTAGATGGCATGATAAAAAGCAGATTAAACATATCAATAAGTGATTAAGAATGAATCAACAAAAAGAAAGACAAATACCTTGCCCATTAGCAGTAGGAGGAGTAGCAGCAGGAGGACTAGCAGGAGCCACTGCAACCAAAAAAAAAAAAAAAATCTCTATTAACCAGATAATCATATATATATCTACAGAAGAAATTAAACCATAATCTGATTTATCGTAAGGATCATAATCCATAAAAATCAAGAAGAAAAACAGAGATATGAAGGAGAAATCTAACATGCATCACAAGCTGACGCCGGAGGAGCATTAAGTTTACAAACAACGGGGAGAGTAGTAGATCTAGTAACGTTGAGTTTGATTCCCAAAGGTGGGTTCTTCAACCCTTTGCATAGACATTCCGGTTTCGTACCGAGAATAGTCTGGAGACTGGAGCAGCATGAAGCTGAGGGTGTATCCGCCGGACCCCCGATCGTTATAAAAGGTAAACATGGCAACAGGGTATAATTAATGGTGTCACACTCGTCGGCTGGTACAATGTTTCCATGAACATAAGGAGAGGAAACAGAGAGAACGAGGAGGAGAAGAGATGTCGCGGTGGAGAAGAAAGCCATTTTTTTTGTTTCTCTGTTTTGGTTACTGCTTAAGAATCGAGAGAGAAGAGAATGAGAGTTGTGGTAAAATGAGTGAAATGTGCTGTGTTTAAATATGGGTTTTAAGTCATAGAGACGACGTCGTCTTTGTGTACACGTCATGTGTAACGCGTAATTTTTGGTTCTTTTCACTGTAAGATTCTTGCTCATTTTTATTTGGATTTTATCCTATATTTAGAGCTTTTTTCTTCTTTTTTTTGGTCAAAATATTAAAAGTTTTTTATCATCGAAATTAACGTTGTTACCAAAATGATTAGATTTGTTAGAAGAATACAGAAGAAAACAAAAAATAAAAATGTAATTTCCTAAAACGCTTTTCTTAAAGTAGAAGGATTTGTATTCAAACTTTGCTCCTGCTGTAACCTTCTGTCAAAAATCTAAAAATGGTATAAAACTTACCATTCATACCAAAAAAACAAAAGTTCACATGTCAAGATTTTATTTTTAACTATCTTGGGTTTATATGTCTAAAGACTAATTATTAAATATAGGAAACAAGTTTTATCATTTTGCATACAATTATTCAGTGGGTCAGTTTCTCATTGTATTGGAGATTTTAAGGGATTGGTTCAAACTTCAAATGTTGAAACCACATGCGTGTTATTGTTATCGAAAGTAAACCAAAACTCTTTTTTTCTTTCTTTCTCAATGTCAAAACTATGAGTTCTTTCGAATAAAAGAATGAAAACAAAATTGATGTAACAAAAATAGTTAAAGAATATCAAATATTTTCGATATTTTTCAAGATTGAATCAATATCAGGAGTCAAAACTGCATGCTTGTACACATCTCCAACCAGACAGCAATTCTTCTGCTCTGTGTTAACCACCATTACATCTTGTGCAAACTCGCTCTTCAACCCCGGGCTTACCTACACCCCATTCCAAATCTGAATTAGACTTTTACTACAATTAAACTTTTTCTGTATTCGGAGAACTGAAACCAGGTCCAAACCAAACTGACGTATACTAGAATCAATTTTACTTAGGTTAAACATGGATTCAAGACACTTACTAGATATTGGCCTAGTGTTGTGCTGGTTCTACGATATTCGAAATGCTACTAAAAGGATGAAAAATACGGGTATGAGAAGTCACTCACATCGTAAAGCACTTCACCCAGTTTCATCTTGACAGCACCACTTTTGTAGACTAGTAGTTTGCCCATGAAACCTTCTGGCAAGGCTTTTAAATCAACAGTCTTCTGAACGGGGCCTCTGATATTTGGCTTTGTTTCACGGTTTTCTGTTGGTGTTGATGCCAAAGGAACAGAAGGTAACCTCATAAAAAGCATTTTCTGTTCTCCACTATCTTCCTGCCAACAAGTAATCCACAATATGTAACTATAGAGTTTCTAGAGTTTGTGTGTGAGTTTTGGTTATCGAATTTTTATTTGTAATGTCACTAACCATTAGACCAAGATTAGCAGCTGTGTTAAGTGAATCTTCATGATTTCCTGCAGCCTGCATAAACTCCTCCACGTCAAGAACCTCTGCAAGAATGAGTATCATCTTAAATGGTAATCAAGAATCCGTTCTCACAAAGATGTTTCTTTTTCTTCTCAAGCAAATATATGAATACCTGGATCGCCTGCATACGGTCTCCTCATTGGAAGTGTGATCGGGTAATAGCTGTAGTAATCCTGTGAGACAATCCAAGAGCTAATTATGCATCAACATTATCGATATACGAGTTCAAGATATAACTATAGGAATGAGTTACTGTTTTACCGACCCATGGTTCTTTATACTCTATCTCCTGAGTAGAGGTTGATCCATAAGCACCATCTGCACAACAAACATCATGTATCAACACCGCCGCCGACTTATCAGCTTGTGATGTGTTGTAAATATAATTGCCTTTGTTTTAAATAGAAAAGAAATCGTACTTGATCCACTGAGGTACTTATTTGATGTGGTTGAATTCACCACTCCCCCCATCCAAGCAACTCGAGAAGCAGGAACTATAAAATACATGCCAAAAACTCAATCAGTGTTTATCAAAGTGATGTTTTTTACAACTAGATAACATAGCAAACAGAGTAAGATAAGAGTCTGAGTTTCAAGTTAAAGACACTACCTTTCTTGTCCGCTTTTGGCTTGCGCAATGATCTTTCCTAAGGCAAACAAAAATCAAAATTAAAGAGAACTGAGAAAGTAAGAAACAAGAGCAACACACAATTTCACTCAACGATAAAAAGCTTACATTAACTCTGCGTAGCAATTCCAAGGCTTGTGCACTATTACTATCATTCTCAACTACTTCACTGCATTCAAAATTCAAAAGTTTCAGAAGCAAATTTACCAAAGAACACGTCTGTTTATGTTAATCAGATCAGTCATTAGTGTTGCTTACGGTTTAACTTCAGGTTTTGGCACACGTTTTGGGGGAGCTTTTGGGGCAAATTTCATCTGCAGAAGAACTCAAAAACGAAACTTTAGCAGAGCCAAATATTTTATCTAACATTACAAGGTAATGATGATAGCAAACACAAACCTTTCGTACTGGTGGTTTCTGCTCCATTGCGATTAAATTCAAACACTTCGACCAAAAAAAAAAAAAACCCAGAAGAACATTTAGTTACGAGTATTCGATTAATATCTTCAAACGAAATTCAGAGAATTACGAATTAGAAGCTGACCTGCGACTCCAAGACTGATCGGCGATCGTTGTTCAATGACGGCGAAGCTTGAGAGAATGAGGATGATCACCGGTTTAGAGAAAGAAAACATATAAATTAGGGCCTTTGTTTGATGTATCAAAACGGCGACGTTTTAGCGTAACCATTGGGAAAAAGTAAACCGGTAATGTAAAGGAAACAGACGATAGTACAAACAAGTTCCAACCGTTATTTTAAGGCCCAGACGATAGTACAAACAGCTAATGTGCGCGCTTTTTTAAGGCCCATTATTCGGCCCAATAACAGGGCCCGTTTTGTATACGTCGGCGAGTGTTTAAGCTTTCGTCTTATTTCTCCTCGACGCCGATTAACACCGCCTGGAAATCTACAAATCGTCGTTGTTCTCGTCTAATCAAGCTGCTCCAATGGCAGAGAGTTCGTCGAGGAAGAACCTTAAACGATCCTTCTTAGAAGATGAAGATTCCAATAAGCAACCTCCGTAAGTTTTCAATCTTTTTCGAAAACCCTAATTTCCAATTTTGTTCTGCTAAGCCTGACGATACGTGTTTTTTCTTTTCGTGATTCAGTTTTAGTGTAGGAAAAATTGAATTAGTAGCTCTTTTATCTTCCCTCTGATTCTCTCATCTCCTGAATTTTGCTAGAGTTAGACATTGAACCTGAAATTGAATGCGGAACATATGATTGTCTTGAACTTGGGATTATTAATCGGTTTTGATATTTGTCTCAGTTACAACTTGAGTTTCTGTGCATACGCTATAATGTGGATTATGGACAAGTTGTTTGGTTATCTTTTAATGGAGGATTCTCTCTGGCAGCGAAAAGCGAGTACGGTTTCCAAAGGGTAAAAAGTCGAAAGGTGAACAGCTCTTAGAGGAAGAAGCTGTAGCCCGCCGCAAAGCCCGTGATGCTGCTAAGGAGCGTGCACATATTCGCAATCAGAATACTGCTAATCTCTTTATCGAAAACGATAATGACGATATTGATGCGGCTCAGGAGACTTATGAGGTAGGATTTCTACAATCCTTCTTTGTTTGTTAACTGTTCTTGGAAGCTAATTGTGTCTATTTCCAGACGTCAATGATGTTTGTTTGCAATAAGAGTTATGCTGATGTGATTTATTTCATTGTAGGATGATGGGAATCGCACAGAAGATGGGATCCAAATTGAAGCTTTTAGTCTGGACAGAGAGAAAGAAGAAGGTTACTTTGATGCTGATGGGAACTTTGTAGAATATGTTAGAGAAAAGGAAGTCAAGGTGCGAAGTAAACAACTTTCATTGTAAAGTTTAGGTCCAAGATATTTTGTTGATTGTCTTACATTTTATGTGCATTCTTTCAGGATGCATGGCTTGACAGTATTGAAAAAAATCCGATGTATATGGGACGATCTGCTGCAAATGATACTGAGAAGGATGAAGATAGTGGGAACGAAAAAGTAGCGGATGATCTTTCTCAAGATGAAATTGGAGTCAGAAAGAGGCGCATTGCTAATGTCCTTGAACCAGGAGAAACGGTGAGACTCATTCTGGGTTTTGACAAGTTTTTGTTTCAAACATGAAACATGGATTGTATTAGTTAAAAATATCACCTTAATATAGCATTGTTGGTTATACATACTTCAAACACGTAAAACAAATCGGGTTCATTTTACAGGTCCTGCGAGCTTTAAGGAGGTTGAAAGGGAATTCGAATAATCGCAAGGAGAAGATGACATCTGAGACAAAGCTTATATTTGATCAGCTTACTGAGGATGCGGACAAGCTTATCGAGAACGGTGACTACAGTAAGTCTCTAATTACTTATGCTACTGTGACAACAAATATGATGTCCTCCATCTGTTAATTATTTGTTCCTCTTTTTTATGTATTGAAGATGTTTATCATGAGGAGCAAGAAGTTTTCCAACGTGAAGCAGGTTAGAGATTCTAATGCTTTTTTTAATATCAGCTGTTGATGTAGCTAAGACACCTCTGCTTTGTGATATTACCTTTTTTCACAACATTAGGGAACAATTGGCTTTACTTTTCACATTCTTCTTCTCTATGTTGGTCTTTTTAGAAGGATATGAGAGACTAGCTCAAGCGAAAGGAAATGGGACTGCCAATTCAGAATCTTGTGATATGTTTGGCGATGATGAGGATGCTCCTGAACCTTCCTCTGATCTACTACCGTCTGGCTCCATCTCGGGCACTCAGCTCAATTCTGATTATGTGTTTGATGAGTCTTCAGGGTATGTTTGTATATACACTCCTCTCTGGCTCTCTTGTTGCATCAGTCAGGTTTTTGTCTGAAGTATTGTGTTGCTAGCAATATTCATTAAGTATCATGTTTATGAGTCTCATATATATTTATCTAAAAGTATTCTAAATGGTTTTGCAGGTACTACTACAGCAGTAGCCTTGGTTACTATTATGACCCTAACACTGGACTTTACTGCTCGGCAACAACCGGAAAATGGTAAAATTTACTTAGCATGAGTTTAGTACTTTGAAAAGCCATTACTAATCTCTTTGTTCATGTGTTTTGTCTTGTAATCATCGTATGTATGTCAAGAGAAATGACTTCAAATTCCGGATCCGATTCTCACTTTACTTCCACTTATCTGTTTGATTACAAAATATGCGTGCAGGTACAAGTACGACGAAGAGACTAAGGAATATGAAGAGGTGGTTTCTGAAGTTGCTACTGAGGAAGTCTAATTTTCTTTTGTCTGTACTTTTAACCAACACAGAAGGTCTTGAAATATTTCCCTTGTTAGACATGTTTCTTTTTCAGTTTGAAAAAGTTAGCACATATACATGAGTTTATATAAATATATTTGGATTTATAGTTGAGAAAATTATAGATATGAAGGTAAATTTGGTTATAAACTATAAACAAAATCTCATCATTGTACGAACAAAATCAGCTGTGAAGAAAGGAAACGAAAATATGAAACAGAGGTTATCAGTATTCCTCACAGTATTAAGTAAGAAAGGCTCAAACTAAACGTTGACCAATAACACACAATCTAACCGGTTCAGACTTCCGGTACAAAACATGTCAGCTTTTGTATTAGACTGGTTCAGCAGCGAAACTGGTAAAGCAGAGATTGAGAACATCGGCATGAATCGGCAGGGAATAAACAAGACATCTAGTTGAGAAATCTCTTTGAGCTCCTGAGAAATTTTGATCGGATGCGGAACTCTAGTTCTACGATTCTTCTCTTTTGATCGATCCTGCGAATCTTTATAGCCTTAATTGCAATCGAAGGGTTCTGAAAATGGCTGAGGAAAGCAGTTTGGAAGGTTCGGAAAAAGAAGAGATCGATAGCTCAGGTGGTGGTCTTGGAGATATGGCATCCATGGATTCTATCGAGTCTCGATGGGTTATTCAAGACGATGATGATTCCGAGATCGGCGTTGACGATGATAATGATGGATTCGACGGTACTGGTCTCGAATCCGATGAGGACGAGATACCAGAGCATCGCCTGATCCGTACTGGTCCACGTGTTGATTCCTTCGACGTGGAAGCGCTTGAAGTTCCTGGTGCTCCGAGAAATGATTACGAGGTGATTGATAGTTTCCTGTATTACTGCATTTCATATCAACATATATAGCCATGGACTGGCATGATGACTGTCTTCTTAGGTATCTTAAATAGTATAGTCATTTTTAGCTGTTTTTGCCAGAGCTCGGATACGAACTAGAAAGGACAACTGAATAGGGAAGTACCATAAGAGATCAAGTGGAAATTATTTTAGCATTATGTGGAGATTATGGATTATAAATAGGAATCAGGATTGCTTTGTGACTAGCTAGTATGCGATTCTTCCAAGTTTCAGTGATGGAGATGGGCTCATAAAACTATTATGGTTGTGTCCTGGATGCACAGTCTGGGAGCAGTGGATATGTGTTTTCTAATTCCAAAGCTTAATTACGGCTACTACGTTTTGCAAGTTCTGCAGATAAAGAATGATGGATGATCTTAGATCTAAGATCTATGACTTGTTTTTGTGAGCCAGTACTTTTCTCTGCATAGTTAATCGAACTTCTATTTGTGTGTTTTTACTTTGCTAGGACTTGACCGTTGGGAGGAAAGTCTTGCTTGCATTTCAGACACTAGGGGTTGTCTTTGGAGATGTAGGAACCAGTCCATTGTATACGTTCAGTGTAATGTTCAGTAAATCACCTGTCCAAGGAAAAGAAGATGTCATTGGAGCACTGTCACTAGTCTTATACACCTTACTTTTGGTCCCCCTTATTAAATATGTTCTTGTTGTTCTATGGGCAAATGATGATGGTGAAGGTATGATTTAGGCTATTCTGATCTCCTAATCATAGTCTTGCTTTGAATCTTCTCTGTACATACATACGGTGCCAACTGCTTTGATTACTTATGTTATTCAGGTGGGACCTTTGCGTTATACTCATTAATCTCTCGTCATGCCAAGATTAGTCTTATCCCAAATCAACTTCGCTCAGACACCCGAATTTCAAGTTTTAGACTGAAGGTGCCTTGCCCTGAGCTTGAGAGATCATTGAAATTGAAAGAAAAACTTGAGAATTCATTAATTCTGAAGAAAATTCTCCTCGTGCTAGTTCTTGCTGGAACTTCCATGGTGATTGCCGATGGGGTTGTAACTCCTGCAATGTCAGGTTCTTAAATATCCTCTTCTAAGTATGTTCATAGGCATGATTTTGTTTTATTGAACAGGGGGTTTCTACTACCATATGGACTTATCTGAATTACTTGATTTGCATAATGCAGTAATGTCAGCTGTTGGTGGACTTAAGGTCGGAGTTGATGTAGTTGAGCAAGGTAATGCAGATGATTTTGTTATTAACTTTGAATTTGTTTGGTGCTAGCTCTTTATTTTTTTCATTGTATTTTTTGCTATTGTTCAGCTTTCTCTTGTTTCTTCTTTGCAGATCAAGTGGTGATGATTTCAGTTGCATTTCTGGTGATCCTCTTTAGTCTACAAAAATATGGGACGAGTAAGATGGGACTAGTAGTAGGTCCTGCCTTGCTTATATGGTTCTGTTGCCTTGCTGGTATTGGCATTTACAACCTAATCAAATACGATAGCAGTGTTTTCAGAGCATTCAACCCTGTCCACATCTATTACTTCTTCAAGAGGAACTCTATAAATGCTTGGTATGCACTTGGAGGTTGCATTCTTTGTGCTACAGGTAATTTTCTCACTTTTGCTGGATGCTTAAATTTCATTAGAAAATGAACTAGATTACTCTTGTAGCAAAAGCTAACAGAACCGAGTAAGCCTTTTTATGCTGAATAATCCGCCTGATATTGTGATACTTTCTTTTTTAATTGTTCATGTTATATAATCTTTATCTTTCAGGCTCAGAGGCATTATTTGCAGACCTTTGCTACTTTTCTGTTCGATCAGTCCAGGTAAATGAAGAGTAGAATGGCCTTTGGCGGCTGATGTTTACCTTTTTCTTTTTGTATGCTACTTTTTTGCTCTAATTTTCTGCAACTTTAATTTATTTCGTAGTGGTTTTCCGCAGCTTACATTTGTGTGTCTTGTCCTGCCGTGCCTCATGTTGGGTTATATGGGACAAGCTGCATACTTGATGGAGAATCATGCGGATGCTAGTCAAGCTTTCTTTTCATCTGTTCCAGGTAAATTTCAGCTTCTTCCTTCAATCAGTAATATACATGCCTCTTTGGCAAACGAAACCACTTTGATTTCCCTGCAAAGGCTGTTCTTGTGGTGCGAAGTTATTAATTCATCATACTGTTCTGTAGGTACTGCATTCTGGCCAGTCCTTTTTATAGCCAACATTGCGGCTCTGATTGCCAGTCGCACAATGACGACTGCGACATTTTCATGTATTAAACAGTCAACAGCTCTGGGTTGTTTCCCTCGTCTCAAAATTATTCACACTTCTCGAAAATTTATGGGTCAGATTTATATACCTGTCCTAAACTGGTTCCTGCTTGCCGTCTGCCTGGTCGTCGTCTGCTCAATCTCAAGTATCGATGAGATTGGAAATGCATATGGTAATAGTTGTTTTCTCTGTTTCCCTTGTCTAGCTTCGGTGATCCGATATGCTTCCCCCGTTTTGATTTTTTTTTTCGATTTCCCAGGGATGGCTGAGCTTGGAGTGATGATGACAACTACAATTCTAGTGACGTTAATCATGCTTCTTATATGGCAGATAAACATCGTAATCGTGATTGCGTTTCTGGTAGTTTTTCTCGGAGTGGAATTAGTCTTTTTCTCATCAGTCATAGCGAGTGTTGGGGATGGAAGCTGGATAATATTGGTCTTTGCCGTAATCATGTTTGGTATAATGTATATTTGGAACTATGGAAGTAAGCTCAGGTATGAAACAGAAGTCGAACAAAAGCTGTCAATGGATTTAATGAGAGAACTTGGGTGCAACCTGGGAACAATAAGAGCTCCTGGTATTGGTTTGCTGTACAATGAGTTAGTGAAGGGAGTACCGGCAATATTTGGCCATTTTCTGACTACACTTCCTGCAATCCATTCCATGGTCATTTTCGTCTGCATAAAATATGTCCCGGTTCCAGTTGTACCACAGAATGAGAGGTTCCTCTTCAGACGTGTCTGCACCAAAAGCTATCACTTATTCCGTTGCATTGCCAGGTTGGTCTTTTTTCCCTTTCACTGCTCAAATTTTCATGGTTCATATAGGATTAGATTAGACTTTACGTAGAGATTCTTACTCAAGTCTGGAGATCTGATATTTCCTTCTCTCTTTTTGTATTACATAGAGAAGTACGTCTTAGAGCCACTGTAGATTCCAATTTAGCCCACAAAAACATATTATCTCTTTCATTCTGTTCCATTTCGTTTCTGAACAATCGAATCGAATATAAACACTCCTGGTGTTATATGTGCTGAAGGTATGGTTATAAGGACGCAAGAAAGGAGAACCACCAAGCATTTGAGCAGCTACTGATCGAGAGCCTCGAGAAGTTCATCCGAAGAGAAGCTCAAGAACGTTCCTTGGAGAGCGACGGGAACGATGATTCAGACTCAGAGGAAGATTTTGCAGGTTCTAGAGTCGTAATTGGCCCCAACGGAAGCATGTACTCAATGGGCGTCCCCCTTCTCTCTGAGTACAGAGACTTAAACAAACCGATCATGGAAATGAACGCTTCATCTGGTCACACAAACCACCATCCCTTTGACGCATCATCTGACTCCTCTGTATCTGAAGCCGAGCAAAGCCTGGAGAGAGAGTTATCGTTCATACACAAAGCGAAAGAATCAGGGGTGGTGTATCTTCTCGGGCATGGCGATATCAGAGCAAGAAAAGATTCATGGTTCATCAAGAAGTTAGTCATAAACTACTTCTACACATTCCTGAGGAAAAACTGCAGGAGAGGGATTGCAAATTTGAGTGTGCCTCAGTCGCATCTGATGCAGGTCGGTATGACATACATGGTCTGAGCATCTTCTTTCTTCTTTTAAACGTAGTTTCTTTTCGTGTCCATAGATTCAAATTTGTATGTTGCGTTGATGTTTTTGCATTGTTGTGAAGAATTATCTGAGTATTTGACTACTCCAATCTATAGAGCAAGTAGAGGAAAAAGCTGAGCCTATATTGATTTCAGGGAATTTCGTGGTTCCCCGAATATCACCTCGTTCCATAGATATCCTTTTTGCGCTATGATTTAGGAACCTGTGATAACGAGTCTGAAGCCTAGACTCGAAACCACAAAGGAAAGGCTAGTCCCCACTGCGTATCTCATGAAAGTGTCTAATGTTTAAATGTTACAATGATGATGATGATGATGATGATGATTGGTATTCACTTGGCTTCATCGATGGTCATCTATGATGGATCTGATAGACTTAGATCTCGACTATAAATCTCCACCGCCGGGAGAAAGAGAGGGAAAAGACATTTGACATCAATTTTGAATAAGAAAAAAACTTAATAATAAGAACTTGACTTGATTGCCTAAAAAAAAAAAAGAGGACTTGATGGGCCAGACAAATCTGATATGTATACGTGTCGAAGTTTTATTGGTGGTTACGTGGGCCAGTTTCAGTGTTTATAAACAAAGCGATATTTATTTCGGGTTCTCTTCTTCTCTCGGTCTCGCTCCAATAAGAGATTAAAAAAAAAGGAAAAAAATCGCTATCGTTTTCACACCTGGATATAGCCCGAAACCAAGGAAACAGGATTATAAGCTTCTTAGTTCATGCATACTCAGATCGGTTAGGGTTCGTTGATTCTCTCTTTGTGATTACGAAAGCTTGAGATCTCTTTTGGTTGTTTTTTGGGTTTATTCTTCTATGGTGGATCGCGGATCTTTTGGCTTTATTAGTCCTCCTCAATTAGGTCTCTTTCTCTTTTCCTTCTTCACTGTTTCTTTGGTTCCTGTGGTAGCTTAGATTACGTTTATGTTGCCATCTTTTTGTTTATCTAGCTTCGATATTTGGTAGGCGAAGGAATCTATCCCTTGTCCTTCCCTTCCATTAGAGAGGAACTTAGCTCACTTCAGTTTCTTACTGGTGTTGTTGTTCCACATGTTTCTCGAATTTTTTTGTTTGTCTGCTTGATCTTGCGATGAAATAATGTATTTATTTCATTTTCAATTGAAATTTCTGCGGTAAGGCTGAATTGCTCTGTTACATTGGGGATGTTCATATTTTGTAGTGGTAGCATAATAGTTTTAGCGGTTGTTTAGTTTGGGAGATTATTTTACTCAGAGTCCACAAAGTGTTAGGAGTAATACATGTTTTGCTTTTACTTCTATGAATTCGCAGATATGGAACAGTTGCTGTCAGAAGCTCAACACAGGTGGCTTAGGCCTGCTGAGATTTGTGAAATTCTTCAGAACTATCACAAGTTTCATATAGCATCAGAGTCTCCCACCCGACCCGCCAGTATGTTTGTGTCCAAGTTCCCTTGTTTCCTGTTGCAATTTATATCTTATAAAGTTATTGGGTGCATGAATGGTCACTTTGTCTTCCATTATTGAATACTACTAGGATTATGATGAATTTTATTTATGCATAGCAGTCAAACTTTTTGCATTTATAAAGTTCCACATGTACTGGCTTCAAATTATACTTGCACTGCTCTAATTCATCCTTTGTTTTGTTTCGAAGAAGAAGTAGACTTTTTGTTACACCGCTTTTTAGTGACAACAATCTTTAGTTTTCAAAATATCTTTTCCCTGTAAACTGACATTATCTCCCCACCCATATAGGTGGGTCACTCTTTCTTTTTGATAGGAAGGTGCTGAGATATTTTAGGAAAGACGGACATAACTGGAGGAAGAAGAAGGATGGCAAAACCGTAAAAGAAGCTCATGAGAAGCTCAAGGTTAGAATTTTCTTTAGTGTCTCCTAAATAGTTTAGTGTTTTCCAATCATGGAACCTGTTACTTGGTTCTACTTCTGGATTTGTAAAAAACTAGTTGATAATGTAATGTATCTAATTTTTTTAGAGTAACATTATATAGGTAGGAAGCGTAGATGTGCTACATTGTTACTATGCACATGGGGAAGGCAACGAGAATTTTCAGAGACGTTGCTACTGGATGCTTGAACAGTGAGTCTGAGTTTGTGCACATTTCAGTTTTTTTTTGTTCTGTGTGTATACTGACCTTCTAGATTGGACGGAAAAAAATAGTGTTTATGATCATAATTTTGAAGGTGCTATTATAGAGAAACCTCATCTCATTGGGTTTTAGTTGCTACTTTGTCTTTGTTTTCCTTTGGATATCTGAGGCCTTCGTGGGTTAAGTGTGGAACATGAAAATACCAACTGGGTCACTATTTCCATGCAATCTTTCAAATTCCCTTGTACGAGTTGACTTTGCTTCTTGAGTGTGTTTTCAGTTTTGTTCTTATATACTCTGTTTTATGCTTGTATTGTTACAGAGATTTGATGCATATCGTTTTCGTACACTACTTGGAGGTTAAGGTATAACTCGTCCTGTCTGTGCTATTACTCCATCATTTAACATTAAAATTATCTTTTGTAGTGTAGTTTTCTACTGATAATTGTTCGTAAGTTTATTTTATATTGTTAATTATACAGGGCAACCGGACCAGTATAGGAATGAAAGAAAACAATTCAAATTCTGTAAATGGCACAGCTTCAGTGAATATTGATTCAACGGCAAGCCCAACTAGCACATTGTCATCATTATGTGAAGATGCTGATACCGGTATTCTTTTTCTATTATTTTGTATGTTTGGTACTTTGGTATCTTTTGTTTTAAAATATAGTTCTTTCCACGAAAGAATCATCGATTTTCATCCTACTTTGTGAGGTGTGATGATTTACATATCATTACATGCTCTTGGCTGTGTGTGTAATTTTCAACACCACCTTATATCAGTTTTGGTGCAGGGGATAGTCATCAAGCAAGTTCCGTCTTACGAGCATCTTCTGAACCTCAAACTGGTACTTCTCAAATAAGAGAGAAGCAGGATGTTAGCATATTAAATTCTTACTATCAGAGCTCTGCTTTGGTACTCACCTCTCTTTCTGGTTTACTGTCTGCATTTTTGTTAAGAAGGCCTTTGTTTTCCTGTTTAGGAAATCGCTATGGTTGGACACCAGCTCCTGGCATGCGTAATGTTTCACAGGTTCATGGGAACAGAGTCAGAGAAAGTGATTCCCAGAGATTAGTTGATGTTCGAGCTTGGGATGCCATTGGGAATTCAGTGACGAGATACCATGATCAACCTTATTGTAATAATTTGTTGACTCAGATGCAGCCTTCTAATACTGACTCAATGCTTGTGGAAGAAAATACAGACAAAGGTGGGCGGTTAAAGGCAGAGCATATCAGAAATCCTCTTCAAACTCAATTAAATTGGCAGGTAGTGTACGCATGCGTATTATAATTATTTATTAAAGAGCTATGCATAGATATTATTAGTGAAAGTATAGAAAGAAGCGTCCATGGATGTTAAGAATTATACAAATGGGAGAGATGTATTGTGAAGAAAAAGCATAGAAATGTGTTATGATGTCATAGCATAGCATACTTCGGAGCTAAATTAGATTTATGTATGTTTTACATGTCTTTATTAGCAATTTTCTCAGGGTTGATATTTCTGTCATTGACGTATTGTAAAGCTAGTTGGTTGAAGTTGAATTTATCTGTCGGTACTTACTCTGAAAAGGTGCATTCTATGCCTGAATCAGTTTTACCTTGACCTCAGATAAGAAGATGAAAGACATCGAATACCTACTTTTGTTAAATGGCTCCTTCCCCTCTATATATTGTAAAGTTATTTATTTAAGCTCGCATGATTATTATCATGAAGATTTGTTTTGAAGTGCTCTGATTTCGAAATACTCATCTCTGTAGATTCCAGTTCAGGATGACCTACCATTACCAAAAGGGCACATGGATCTGTTTTCACATCCTGGAATGGCTGATGACACTGATCTGGCGTTATTTGAGCAAAATGCACAATATAATTTTGAGACATTTTCCAGTCTCCTTGGCAGTGAAAATCAGCAACCTTTTGGAATTAGTTATCAAGCTCCTCCTTCAAGTATGGAATCTGAATTTATACCTGTAAAGAAATCATTGTTAAGAAGCGAAGAGAGTTTGAAAAAAGTCGATAGTTTTTCTCGGTGGGCTAGTAAAGAACTTGGCGAGATGGAGGATTTGCAGATGCAGTCTTCACGTGGAGATATTGCATGGACCACTGTTGAATGTGAAACTGCAGCAGCCGGGATCTCCTTGAGCCCTTCTCTCTCTGAGGATCAGCGTTTCACCATAGTTGATTTTTGGCCAAAATGCGCACAGACTGACGCAGAAGTTGAGGTAACTTCACTGTACATATTTGGAAAAATGGTTTGGTGATGTACCATTCTGTTCAGATGGTTAAGTTTTGTTGATCCATCTTCCGAATGATCTTTTCGGTTAAGACTTTGAAGCAATTGCAAAATATTTTGTGCTATATTTTCAACTGGTTAGTAGAGTTTGAAATCTCTTGTTGAATTTCATGCAGCAGTTTCATTCTGATGATCCTGCTTTCTCATTATTTTTATTAGTAATGCTTTTTCCGTTTTGCTGATCTCTTTTAGCACTCTGTTTTCATTTGTTTTGTTGTTGTGACTAAGTTCTTTTTCATGTATCACTCTATCTGCAGGTCATGGTTATTGGGACATTTCTGCTTAGTCCGCAAGAAGTAACAAAATATAACTGGTCATGCATGTTTGGTGAAGTGGAGGTTCCTGCTGAGATTTTAGTAGACGGCGTTCTTTGCTGTCATGCTCCACCGCATACAGCTGGTCACGTGCCCTTTTATGTTACATGTTCCAACAGATTTGCTTGCAGTGAAGTACGAGAATTTGATTTCCTTTCTGGTTCTACACAAAAAATTGATGCTACTGATGTTTATGGTACCTATACAAATGAAGCATCACTTCAGTTGCGGTTTGAGAAGATGCTTGCTCACAGAAATTTTGTTCACGAACATCATATATTTAAAGGTGTTGGGGAGAAACGAAGAAAAATCAGTAAAATTATGTCACTAAAGGAGGAGAAAGAGTATCTCCTTCCAGGGACATATCAGAGAGATTCAACCAAACAAGAACCAAAAGAACAGCTTTTCAGGGAACAGTCTGAAGAAGAACTATATATATGGCTCATCCATAAAGTGACTGAAGAGGGCAAAGGTCCAAACATACTGGATGAAGATGGACAGGGTATTTTACACTTTGTTGCAGCGCTTGGGTATGACTGGGCCATTAAACCGATGCTAGCAGCGGGAGTTAACATTAACTTCCGTGATGCCAATGGCTGGTCTGCCCTTCATTGGGCTGCGTTTAGTGGCAGGTATGGACCTCTATCTCACATTTCATCAATTTTCTTTGATCTTAAAATTATGATTTGAGATTTTGCATTTCGTTTAAGATGCTCACATTTATGCTTCTTCAATTCTATTACTTGGTCAACATTGCCATATCAAACTAACTCCTTTTCCTGTTAACTATAGGGAGGAAACTGTCGCTGTGCTTGTCTCTCTAGGTGCTGATGCTGGGGCATTGACGGATCCATCTCCAGAGCTTCCATTGGGTAAAACAGCAGCTGATTTGGCTTACGCAAATGGACACAGGGGAATTTCGGGTTTTCTTGCAGAGTCTTCCTTAACTAGTTATCTTGAAAAGCTAACAGTGGACTCAAAGGAAAATAGCCCTGCCAACTCTTCTGGAGCAAAAGCTGTTCAAACAGTCTCTGAGCGAACCGCTGCTCCTATGAGCTATGGCGATGTACCAGAAAAACTTTCCTTAAAGGATTCACTTACCGCTGTTCGTAATGCTACACAAGCGGCTGATCGTCTCCATCAAGTATTCAGGATGCAATCATTCCAGCGGAAACAGCTGTCTGATATCGGCGATGATGACAAGATTGATATCTCTGATAAGTTAGCTGTTTCTTTTGCAACTTTGAAAACTAAGAATCTAGGACAGGGTGATGTTTCTCTTAGTTCTGCTGCCACCCATATCCAGAAGAAATATCGTGGTTGGAAGAAGAGGAAAGAGTTTCTTTTAATCCGACAAAGAATCGTTAAAATTCAGGTTTGCCTTTCATTGGTTTTTTTCTCCGCCTTTATTTCTTTCCATAAGTCTTTTGTCTGGTTTCTCATTGCTGGAATCATATTACATTTACCTTTAGGCTCATGTGAGAGGACATCAGGTCCGGAAACAATACCGAACAGTCATCTGGTCTGTGGGATTACTCGAAAAAATCATTTTGCGTTGGAGACGCAAAGGTAATGGCTTGAGAGGGTTTAAGCGCAATGCAGTCGCCAAAACCGTGGAACCGGAACCGCCTGTATCAGCTATATGTCCCACAATCCCACAGGAAGATGAGTATGATTATCTTAAAGAGGGAAGAAAACAAACAGAGGAAAGGCTTGAGAAGGCTCTGACTCGGGTGAAGTCAATGGTTCAATACCCAGAAGCACGGGATCAATACCGTAGACTCCTAACGGTTGTCGAGGGCTTCCGTGAAAATGAGGTATCAAAGACCCATAACATAGATATGCATATCATCAGTTTATCATTTAATTTTGTTGAACAATCTTGTGATAAATTGTTGTTGCAGGCTTCATCAAGTGCATCTATAAACAATAAAGAAGAAGATGAAGTCAACTGTGAAGAAGACGAGTTTATTGACATTGACTCTCTTTTGAACGATGACACATTGATGATGTCTATTTCTCCTTGATTTTACATTCTGACTCGTATTCATTTTTCTTCTTTTACTTTCTAACTTTATTTCTTCTCTGTAAATATAATAGTTGATATTTACCGTTTAATTTATTACTTTGGATTGGAATAGAACATGCACTATCATTCTCCTTTCGTCTTCAAGGTTTTTTTTCTATTTTTCATTTATATAATATATATTCCTTCCGTTTCGTTTTAGTTATCGTTTTAGGTTTTCAATGCAAATGTTTGGTAAAAATTCTAGTATTATTTTATTGTTTTAATGTTTTGGCCAATGAAAAAATTTATAAGATATATTAATAAAGGGTAGAACAGAAAATTTAATGCTTTTCTTAATTTGTGTGAAAAAATTCTAAACGACAACTAAAACGAAACAGAGGAAGTAGTTTTTTTTGGTTGTTATGTATCATTTGGCTTTTTCTCGGCTAATATTATAATAGCCAAGTGTTGGATTACTCTGGTGTACATATTTGTATCCGTCCACACCCACAAAGATTTGAGAAGCAATAAGAAATTCAATATTCTTCTCTTTATTAGCTGTTTACTAGAATTCATACATCAATTTTTTTTTTGGTCAAACTCATACATCAATCATATTGTTATAGAATTTATATATTGGTATAGTTTAAATTCGAATGGTAGTATGGTATTGAGCTAACTTTTTAAGGTTATACATCCTGGTTGACATGCCATTCTATCTACCAAATTTGGCTTTGTAAGCCATTAAAGTAAAAAAAAAAAAACTTAACTTGGATTTTCCTATAAACTGAAGATAAAATTGGATTGACGGGCAAGGCTACAGAATATGGAAACTTAACAAATAAATTATAGCAATATATTTTTTAATTTTTTCATTATTATATTAAGGGTTTTGAGTGGCTTGACTCATTATTATATTATATTAAACTCATTATTTTTCATTAATTTTTAATACATCATTATTATATTAAACTCTAATTTTCCACAGTGGAAAAGTTCATTAAGAAAATAAATGGCCAACAAAAGAGATTAAAAATCGTAAAGCTAAATCAAAACGAGTAATAAACTCATTAAGATTAAAATTCCCATTTTTCTTAACTCACTATTTTTTATTTTCTTTATCAATTTCGTAAGACGATTATTAATCAATCAAAAAAGAAGATTCGCCTTGGGCAGACGGACTCGAGTTCACGGCTCACCAAGTCATAACTCGTAATTAAAAAAAGGTTAAAACACACCGCGCACGATAGCATATGTGCTTGCTTCTTCCAAATACTCTCTCTCTCTCTCTCTCTTTTTCTTTCCCCTTTCCTCTCTTAAACCCTCCTAAAACCCTTGTCTCTCTCTTTCTCGTTCCTTCTCGTGAGATCGCGTTATGTCGAATACGCTTACTTTGATTCAAAGCAATGCCTCGAATCCCAAGGTTTGGGTGGTGATCGGCGTGACGGTGGCTGGGATTGTGATTCTGGCGGAGACCCGGAAGCGGCGGATTAAAGCCCTTAGAGAAGAAGACTTTGGTGCTTTCTTAGATCGTTTTGAGCTTCTTCCATTCCCTCCGCCGCCTCCTCCTGCAGCTAAACAATCTCTCTCTGCTCTTACCTTCTCCATATCCGACGCGTATGTATCTCTCTCTCTCTCTCAATAATCAAAACTTTATTTTCAGTTTCGAAAGATCGAATCATATAATGATCTATCTTAAAAAGTTTAAAACTTTTGTGGTTCAATTGAAATTTTGACTTACTTAGACGAAGTCGTGTGCAATGAATGAAGAAATTTATTATTTTGGGGTATTTGACAGGTTCGATGTTAAGGATTATATCACAGGATTTGGTAGTCCACAATGGAAGAAGACTCACGAGGCTGCTGAGAAAACTGCTGTGGTTGTCACAACTCTCTTGAAAAATGGAGCTACTTGTGTTGGCAAGACTATCATGGATGAGCTGGGTTTTGGGTATCTCTCCATTCCCTATCATTCTTCATATGAAATGACTTTTCGGTAGTTGGTTTGAAAAAAGTTTGGGTTTTGAATGTGAACTTTACAGGATTATTGGAGAAAACAAGCACTATGGCACTCCTATTAATCCATTGATGCCATCTAATGTTCCTGGAGGATGTTCCAGTGGCTCAGCAGTTTCTGTTGGGGCTGAACTCGTTGACTTTTCACTTGGTATTGTTAATCTCTTCCTTTTCTCTTGGTAATGTGTTTTCTTGGTCTACGTATGGTTCTTTGTGCTTATCAAAATATGCTTGATTTGCAGGGATTGATACCACTGGCGGTGTTAGAATCCCAGCAGCCTTTTGTGGTATTCTCGGTTTTCGACCATCTCAGGGGACTGTTTCTTCTGTTGGAGTTTTGCCCAATTCTCAGAGCCTAGAGACTGTTGGTACATTACATTCCCTTCCCTTTATTAAACAATGTTTAGCAAATTATTACTTTCATCGATTGAAAGTTTTTAGTGTTTTTATATTGAATCATACAGAGAATCCTTGTACTTGTCAAATCCCTTTCCTCTTTTTTGGTGATTGCAATGGTAAATGTTACTCTAGGTGTTTGCCTTCCTTATTATTGAATTCTTTGATTTGTTCTGTAGGATGGTTTGCCAGTGACCCATCCGTTTTGTGTCAAGTCGGACATGCCTTGCTAAACCTGAGTGCAGTAGCACATAGAAGGCAAAGATCTTTAATCTTTGCTGATGATTTGTTCGAGCTCTCTGACATTCCTAAGCAAAAGTCGGTGCACGTTGTCAGAAAGGCAATCGAAAATCTATCTGGCTGTAAGTTTGTATCTGTATTCCTTCCTTCTCTTTGCCCTTCTCCAGATTCATATCTTATGTCTCTTGACCACTGGCTCATGCAGACCAGACTCCAAAACATGTTAACGTTGGCCAATATGTCGCTTCAAATGTACCAAGTCTTGCGGAATTCTGTGAGCAATCTGGAAAATCCCAAAATTCTGCATCAACTTTGAAGGCTCTTTCATCTGTGATGTTGGCAATACAAAGGTATTTAAAAAGCTCACACTTTTTGAACTTCTTGAAATTTTCACTGCATCAATACTATTTTCTCTCTATTTACTTTTCAACGGGTGCAATAAAAGATTGTTGTTATTCTCTCTTTGATGGAGATAACTATTTTCATCTTAAATTGTATTTATGCATTTACTGAAATAAAAAGGTTTTTCTTTTAACCAGGCATGAGTTCAAAACAAATCATGAAGAATGGTCGCAAACATGCAAATCGTTTCTAGGGCCAAGATTTTCCAATGATGTTGTTACAGCTCTGAAGAGCAGAAACGAGAGCATTAAATCACTCTACAGAGTGAAAACTGAGATGCGGGCCACAATTCAAAGCCTTCTAAAGGTAAACTTCGACTTTTGGAAATTTAAAATTTTTCAAAGCCACTCTGAGGACATTTTGCCACCGAAAGACAGAAATTTGAAGAGGTTGTATTATTCAATTTCATTTTTGCGGCTTCTTTGTAGTTCTATGGTATTGTGATTAACTATAGATCGGTATCTTATTACTAGGAAGATGGAATTCTGGTAATCCCCACAGTCGCTGATCCCCCTCCAAAGCTTAACACAAAGAACAAGAACTCTTTGAATGAGTTTCTTGATCGAACTTACGCACTCTCCAGCATTGCTAGCATGTCTGGATGTTGTCAGGTATATCTCCATCTCCTCTTTCTCTTTCAATGGTTGGAGGACATTCTTGTTGCCTTTTTATTACTCTTCAGTCTGTAGTCATGACACAAATATATACATATTCTACAGGTTACAATTCCTTTAGGGCAACATGGTGATCGTCCAATATCCGTGTCGTTTCTTACTTACTATGGAGGTGATAAGTTCCTTCTCGATACAATCCTCGATGTATATGCATCCCTTCAAGACCAAGCCAAACTTGCATCCAACTTAGCTCCAGTGTCTGACACCAATGGTAATATGGAGGCTTCTGAAGTTATGAAGGAAAAGGTAAAACTATCTCTTTGAGTTTGACAGCTAGTCTATTTGGTTCTGATCCATATGGTATTTGAGGTGGAATGATTTATTTTGGAAGAAAGTTACAGTGGATAAATGTAATTCCAGGGCAATGCTGCATACAAGGGGCGACAATGGAATAAAGCAGTAAACTTTTATACTGAAGCTATAAAATTAAATGGAGCAAATGCTACTTACTTTTGCAATAGAGCTGCAGCTTTCTTGGAACTTGGCTGGTAATTGTTCTCCTCATATCTTTCATTCTGATCTGAAGATAATTTATTATGCTTTTCTGATCTGAGAATTGTTTATAGCTTCCAACAAGCCGAACAAGATTGTACAGAGGCCATGTTGATCGATAAGAAGGTGAAAACTTGATTACCGTCCTTATTTCTCCATCCTGCATAGTTAGTTTTGTTACATTGAGTTTTCACATGGTTTTGTGTATAAGTAAACCACTTGAGCTGGATCAAAACTATTAAGTTGTTATTTTTGGATTTGGTCTTAGGTTCAGTTTCATTATCACTCAATCACTCAAACTATACACAAGAACTTATTATTCATAGACTTGAAAGAAATTGGAAGCTTTGATTCTAATAGTTATTGTTTCTACAGAATGTGAAGGCATATTTGAGACGAGGGACTGCCAGAGAATCACTTGTCCGGTACAAAGAAGCTGCTGCAGGTATGATTAAACTACTCTGAGATTGTAATTTATTGTCAAAATCTTATTAGAAAGTACTCTCTCCGGTACGGTATTGGAGCGTAATATATGGTTTATCATCTCTGCAGATTTCAGGCACGCATTGGTCCTTGAACCACAGAACAAGACAGCGAAGGCTGCTGAAAAGCGACTCCGAAACTCATGAGCTAAAAGGATTATTAATCGATTTCTTGTTCACCAATCTCTCTTTTACTTATCTAAAACCCTAAAAAGGAAAGGTTTTGATCCTTGGGTTCCAAGAGATTAATAATATAGTGGTTTTGTGACGTGTGTACAGATTGGGATGAAACCTTTCACCTCTAATTACTTTGATCGGGTCTTTTCAGCTTCTTTGTTTTCTTAACGGTCCTTTACGTAATTACAAATATCACAAAGTCCAATACTGTAATTTCGTAAATTACACGGACGGTCCAAAAAAGTCACGTTTATAATCAATTCTCGACAAATAACTGAATTCTGTTTTTGTTTTTTTCCTCTTCTTCATCGTCACGCCTCCTTATCTTCTTCTCTGTATCATTTTGGAATTATTCAAAAATGTTTGATCATCTGAAACTGTTGCGATGCTTCAGCTTCACGGCGTCGCGAGATTGGTTATTCCGGCAATCATTCGCAAACGCCGGTCTACGTTCCGTAACAACAGATCTGTCCCACGGCAATTCAATCGCATCAACAGCTATGCATTGTTGGATCCCAAAATCCCCAAATCGATCTAAACCTAATCTCCTGCTCGTCCACGGATTCGGAGCCAACGCAATGTGGCAATACGGAGAACATCTCCGAGCTTTCACCGGCCGATTCAACGTCTACGTTCCCGATCTCCTCTTCTTCGGATTATCATCCACATCGGAACCAAACCGATCCGAATCATTCCAAGCTCGGTGTCTAATGAGGTTAATGGAAGCGCACGGAGTCCAGAGGATGAACATCGTCGGGATTAGTTACGGTGGATTCGTTGGGTATAGTTTAGCGGCACAATTTCCGGAGAAAGTAGAGAAGCTTGTGCTATGCTGCGCCGGGGTTTGCTTGGAGGAAAAAGATATGGAGGATGGATTGTTTAAGGTACCGAATCTAGAAGAAGCTACAGGAATTTTGATTCCTCAGACGCCGGAGAAGCTTAAGGAACTAATAAGATTCTCTTTCGTTAAGCCAATCAAAGGTGTTCCTTCGTTTTTCCTCTGGGATTTTATCGATGTAAGTATTTTTGTTTCTTTCTAAATAATGTCTTTGTTAGTTTGTTGATAAATATTGCATCTTTGAGAAATTTGTTGAAAATCATGTGAAGGTAATGTGTACGGAGTTTGTAGAGGAGAAGAGGGATTTGATAAAATCAATACTCAAAGATCGGAGACTTTCAGATCTTCCTAGGATCAAACAGGTAGGTGCAAAACTTTATTTGGTTTTTAGATTTGTGTAAATTTTGCACTTCCTATAACATTTGTGTGTGTCTTTTTATTGGTTGAATTAGAAATCGTTGATCATATGGGGAGAAGAAGATCAAATATTTCCACTGGAACTAGGTTACAGATTAAAAAGGTAAACAACATGAGATTATTCTTTTTCTTCTGTGAAGCAACAATTTATGTTAATAAATGAATGGTGAAACAGACATATAGGAGAGAGTGCAGAGATAGTGGTGATCAAGAACGCAGGACATGCTGTGAATTTGGAGAAGTCCAAGGAATTTGTCAAGCATTTGAAATCTTTTCTCATTGACTCTTTCTGAAATTTTTACATTTTTTTCTATATTTGGAGAAATAATAACCAATTTTTTTACATTATTTTTCAGAACATGATCTTTCTTTCTTGTTTAAAAGCTTAAAACATTAACGTCTACTAGGGAATTTATGTTAGATGACAAACACGATTATATTATCCACGACAGACTTTGCTGATCCATAACAGTACAACTTGATAAACTGAAATAAGGCCAATGTACACAATGCGGAGCTTATACAATCAGCTACAAAAAAAAAATCCAACAAGGCAATAACAATTAAAAGGCCTATTTTAGCTGGCCTTTGTTTTTGATTGGTGGGCTTTGAGGAATGAATTTAGAATACTGAAAAGAAACAAAATTGGTTTGATTTTAAATATAAATATACACACACAAATCTATACTTCATGGTCCGATTTTATGTGGCTCCCCTATCGACTATCTATCGTCTAATTTTGTTGTACAATGTGAAGGTCGAATGTATATTGGGAAGATTCCAATAATATGGACTTCCGATACATGACAAGATAACTGGGACCGATCTATGTATAAGAGAGATTGGTTTGTCAACATGAGAAACTGGTCGGTCGGTCGGTCGGCGGCAATATAAGGCTAACATATACACCTCGCAATATTTTATTGATTAGTTAAGGCAAACTTATCCTAAACTTATAATGATTGAATCATTAGGAATTTTTTTTGTTAAAAGAAGAGATGTATTTTACTAATTAATGTTGTGACTTAATTAGCTCATCTACTTGGTGGCACTTCTATATGAGCAGTGGATTACGCCTTTTATTATCATTTTTTTTTTTGGCTCATGCATTAGTGAAATTATGTAACTAAGAACATATATAGGGTTTAGTTGAAAGTGGTATATAGATATTGGCTGCTTCTGCGGACTAATAATTATTGAAGCGTTTGATAAAATTGCCGGCACACGTCGAATGTAGACAAATACTTGGTGACGTTTTACATTAATGGTCAAAGGACAACAAAATTCAATTCAAGATACTGACCCTTTCGGCCTTACCTATATATTTTGTTGATTATATGCAGTACTAGACGACCACATGTTAGTCTCGACCCATTTATTTGCAAAAGCAACAAATGATAAAATCGTAAATTTATTTATTTATTACATGATTTCAATTCTGCATAGCATGTTAGTTTACATGATATCACGTTACTTGTTTACAGTTTATTATCGCGTGATTTTTGCAAATTATACCCCCATATATATAACCATCTAACAAAATGAATTTTTAATTTGTATAGAACTTACTAATAATTTAGTTGGACTTACATTGCTTTCGCTAGTCTTTTTCAGCATCTCTAGTCAATATAAAAGTTTAATTATTGTAGCTGTTGAACCAACGTCGTTATCATTTTACATGGTGGTAGACTGGTAGTTGTCATATAATTGGGCATTGCTCTTAAACTATAGGATATTAATTAAAAACACACTTTATATATGTTAAGATTTTTTTATCCTTAATTCAGACAAATCTAATTGCCAAAAAAATGAACTTTTATTTTTTGAATTTAATGTTAAATTATATTCAAAAGAAAAATAAACGTTTCTACAACTCAATGCGATGCAATTCAAAACATTTTTGAAACTTTGAAAAGAAAAACTGAGTCTTCTCTATAGCCTTGACGCAAACCAGCGTAGATGCCACTTGTGGCTTCTCCCCCTCCGATTGTACTCAACCGGTTTCGTACATTTTTATCGATCAACTTGACAAGTATTCCCGTTAAAAAATGAACTTTTAACGGGAAACATATTATCGAAAACCTTTCCACGCAATTTTGAAACCACTGAATTCAATCATGCTTTTGTTTTTTTGTTTCGTACGTATATATATGCTCTAACTTTTACATTCTTTGACCAAGAATAAAAAAGTTTAGGGGAAAAAGGAGAAAGACGATGGTAGAAGTGGGCATGCATGCAACGTTTTGCCCATAATACTGTTACGTTTACCATCAAAGTCAAAAGTTAAGATATGGAGGGGGAATGGGTGCATGTTTTAGCATTTTATACGACTTCGCTAGCTAACTTTAATTGACTTCGCCGACATATATATACATCATATTATATTATATATATGGTCCCGTTTCATAATTTCATATCTTTTCATCAAGTAGTTATATATACAATCATATATTAATTGTTAAGCATATACTGTATATATAATACACTTATGATGGATCGGTATAATAGCTAAATTTTATAAAAAGGCATTTGAAAAATAGATTTTGTTTACCCGATTATCTCAAACATTAGACATTGTTTGGTTATTTTATTTACGCGAGTCTTCATATTGCGTAGAAATTAGAGTAACGTTATCTTTTGGTTTCTGTTTTTGTTTTTGTTTTTAAATAAGTCCACTGTTCTTCATGAATTTTATTTTCGTACGCTTCCAATTACATAGCAACTACAGTTAATGGGTACGGTTAGTAGGTTAGGTATATGTAGCTTCCGATTGATTTTTGTTTTCTCCATTCTTTAGGTTGGGTCATATATGAACACAGTACACATATAATTTGCTCGTGCATTATGCATAATTGATCCGTTTCACGTATAATTTGTCGCTTTCACGAGACACCATCAAAACATAAATGTGTCACATTTCATGCCAGCGAAGCGTTGCATGGCGTTGATATTATCTCATATTTTCGCCTCCTTTTGAATAATTTTTAGCCCTACGAATCACATTGGCAACTACATATACCTATCCTGACGCACGCTCACACCAAATACACATTAATTGTTATGACGATGAAATTATTTAGTTTTCATATATAAGCCGATCAATTGACAATTGTATTAGTTTATGTTAATAATATCACTCTATTAGTTAGGGATATAATATTAATTACGATGACCAAAACATTTAGCATAGTGAATTGTGTTAGCGATCATCTAGATTAAATTTGGCATATAGATATAGTCCATGATTCCATGCTATAAAAAAAGCTGTGGTTCAAGAAATTATAATGATAAGATTTTATTATATTAAATAAAAGTTAAAACTAATGAGAACTGATAATATGAAAGAAAACTTGACAGAAATTAGTTTACCCAAAAATGTGATTATGACATATAGGAAAATCTCTACCAAGTTATTCAAAATTAAATGATATGATTGTCATCTGACATTATATATTTATTTGTATCAGAAGTAACATTTGTTATCTAATACTATTTACATAAAATAAATCTAACTATTAAATTCACGTCTTGTATTAAAGTTTTGTTCTTTAATACTGACAAGATTCTGTAGTTACAAATATGAAAAATAATTTATTTTTTTTTGGTAACTGCAGTTGTTTCTCTTAATAATATGTTTTTGTTTTCCTTTTAACAAAAAAAATTATGTTTTTGTTTTCTTACTTTGTCAAAAATCATTGTACGGCAAAATTGTATTTTTGTAAAAAAACTGGCCTCTGTAATAGATATTTTAGTAGATTTTTGTTTCTGCGACTGAAATTCACGTGTTAAATACAAAGGCAGGGCTAAGGTAAGAAGACTGAGTTCTGACAAGGTGACGTAAAATAGGCGTATTTTCAATTTTAATAAACGTACAGGTGGTGGATCTACGAGACTCATCTTCCTCGTATGTCGTGCCTTGACGTAAGTAAATCCATCGGCTCTACTTTTTTTTTTACCTCAAATTAAACTTTTAAAAGTTCTACTACAAAGACTACAAGTCTACAACTATCAATTACCTTTTTAGTTAACAATTAACACCGTAATCATAGTTATTTTGTCATTAAACTTACAAAACAAACTGTAGAATGGAACTTATTGATTCAAATAAAACTTTTTTTCAGAAAAGTAAAAAATTTACCTTTTCTGCTTACTGTGTTATTGACGAAATATTTGGAAATTGCCAAATCACTATCTTAGCAAGTTGTTTTATCGTCCGCTTAATTCGTAGGTTCACATCATACAATACTGGTTGTGGACTTGTGGTCTCATCAAATAAGTATAGAATTATTTTTTTTGGCGAAACCCACTTAATATTTTTATTGTTTGGAAATTGAGCCCGCATCCTTCGATGTCCATGAATATAGAACAGTCACAACGTTCTAGAATTTAGAACAAATAAAGTATAGTGAAAATATTTAAAAAAATAAAAGCGAATAAAGATAGAATTTTCAAAAATTTAAAAAGGGAAAGGCTAAAGAAACAGAAAAAGAGTGGACCACGCATATGTAAGGCAATAATTGACGTAGGAAAGGGCTTGGTTCGTACGCTTTACCCTAGCTATACTGACCATTGCTCAATCACTTTGTACTTGATTGTAGATCTCTATATACATACATTTTTTTCGCCCATACATTATATTTATACATACATACATAGTTCAATTGTTATTGAAATACGTAAGGATTTGGTCTCTAGTCCCTACAGAAACCAAGTGCTTGTATCACCATTATGCCGGTTTGCTAAAAACAATAGATTTTGAATAGCTGGAAGCAGCATTTAAATAGCATGGTTTATTACGATATTAGTGTAGTTAGTGTATACCGGTTTAGATGTCTAGTTGCAACTAATCTTATATCGAATGATAAACTAAAATATCTAACGTTTAATTGCATTATACTCCGTATATATAAAACCAAGACATGTAGCCTAGCTAGCTAGTAGCTTTTTTGTTAGTGCATGCCATTTCTATTTTTAATTATCCAAATTCTGATTTCACTTTCTGCAATGATATTAATTGCAAATAAGAGAAATACTAACACTATACGGTAATTTTCTTTTAGGAGCCAAAATAAAACACCAAGAAAACCATATGAGCCAATGTATCTATTTTTTTAATGGGCATTTTGGTTGAGTCGGTCATCTTAAACTCCCATGTTTTTGTCCATGATGATAAAATGTAACAGTAAGTTAGTGCATTAAAAAACGTTTAGAATGCGCACTGTCCTTAAACATTCATAGCCACATTGTTTTTCTTCCTTTTTCCTTTTTTTTTAAAAAAATGGATTTTATTACTAGGATAACCCTTATATTTATTGAATTGCATCTTTCAATAACTTCAGACGTAAACTGTTCAACGTAAATAGTATAAACTTTTATCCGGACATGCACGGAAGTGTTTATCCCTGTCGCATACATTTCAAAATTTTAAATTTTAAAAACTTGATAA